TCACTTGGAGAGACCTACCTTGAGGTCTAGTCAGAAGATCCCACTGAAGCTTCTAATACTGCCAACTATCCTACCCCCTTGAAGCCATACAACTTTTATAAAATACTTTTAAACTTGGAGATGAGATCACACTCTAGATCTACCCCCAAAGGAAATATGTAGAGTCCCTAAATTCTGTCTGCCATAACTAGTTCATCTCATAGATGGTCTTGTCCTCATCCATGAGGCTTGAAGCATGTGTAAGAGTAACATTTTTACCACACCTACATGAGACACCTGTGACAACTGTAGAAGGATTAATATCCTAAATTTATAAAGAAATCAAAAATACTTTTAAAAGATATAAAGCAACCACTTTTAAAAATAGGGGGTTGATTTTTTAAAAAGTTAATAATATGGGGAAATTTTTTAGCATTACTAATTATCAGGGAAATGCAAGTTGGAATCTCAAAGACCTACCATCTCACCCAGGGAGAATAAGATATAAAAAGTAAAACCTAAATGCTAGTCAGGATGTGGAGAAAATGAACTCTCCTACCTTTGGGAGAATGTCATAGATACAACTATTCTGAAGAACAGTATAAAAATGTCTTACAAGCTCTTGCTAGAGTGCAAGATCACAGGCCCTGGAAGGAAAGAATGCCAACCTACGAATGCTCTGCACTGTGTTTCCAATACCTTTGCTCTTAACTAGATTGAAAGTCCATGAGAGAAGACAGAGAAGAGAAAAAGAGGAGGCCTTTGTCTCTTTAGTAGCAAAAGCTCGAATGTTGGTTATCATATGTCAAGTGAAACAGCTAAGGATTTTAATATTGGAGGATGGCAACTGAAAACACACAATGGAAAGGCAGACAAGAAGAGTATGAACAAAGACTCCAGAAAGCCCAGGAAAGCTGTTCCTCATGTTACTCCATTTGACAGACACCAAATGTCTAACTGGAGAAGCAACCTTAGAACTTTATACACAGACCTTGGCTTGAGGGGCTTCCAATAGATCTACATTAACAGTGTTTTTTCTGTGTTTTAGATAAAAGTCAGCAATAGAGAGAATGACTTAAAGGCTAGCTGGAAGTCTTCTCACTACCAGGCACAGAAACTTACCTTGAATAAGCATCAGTGAAAAAACCAAAACATCCATGAGGAAGTGGGCCTGTAACTTCTCACACAGGGCAAGGATAGGAAAATGACTCCAGCAAGAACACTCTGAAATCTGGACTGCACTCTGCTTCTCTCCATATATACTACTGTCACAAAGATGAATGTTAAAAGGTGTTGCTGAGGATGTGGAGAAAGGGGAACTCTTTCATACTGTTTGCTGGTAGGACTATTTACTAGTTCAGCCATTATGTAAGATGGCACAGAAGACTCTCAAAACTAAAACTGGAGTGACTGTTGGGTCTAAAACCACCACACCAGGTACATAGTCTAAAGAACTGAAGTTAGTGTCTCAAAGAGCTACCTACTCATACTACTGTGCTTAGAGTGGGATTAGCCACACCCATCAAGATATGCAAGCAAGGTAAATCTCCATCCCTGAACACATGAAGGAAATGTATTTATATATGTATATATGCGACTATATGCTTGTTTGCATACCTATGTATATAGTGTACATATATGTAAGATATGTGTGTGTAAGAGAGAGGGGGGAGAGATAGGGAGAGGGAGAGAGAAGGAATGATGGAATCATTTTCAGTTTCGATGCCTGAAGGATCTTGTGTTAAAAATGCAGGCACTTATAGACAAATACTGTGTGGTCACTATTACACATAAAATCTAAATTAAATCAGCCTTATAGATATGGAGCAGAAAAGTCGTGTGTACCAGAGGATGGGGTTGGGGGAGGAGGAACTGGGATAGAGACATTGATCAAAGGGCACAATGTTTCAGTTAGGTTAAAATAGAATTTAGCAATCGGCCACACTGCAAGATGATCACTGTGAGTCATTGGGCATTTCCAAATTACTAACTAGATTCAACACTCAAAATAATAATTTATGGAATAGTAGATACATTTTAAATGTGGGATATTTTTTAAAATATTAATATCCCTTTCATCAGTTTTTAGGCAAATATATTGATGGTGCATTTAATACAATAAGGGGCACATGGCAGATGAATTCCCAGGAAGGAGTCATTTCTACTGGAGTAAGGTACTAGGGACATTTTCTGGCAGTCTTTAGCAGCATCAGATACCAGAGACACTGTTTTAGCAAAGAGTGTAAGACCCAAGAGCCATTTAGAAAAGAGAAATGCAACAGAAAGAACTAAAGAATGCCCTTGCATGCTTCCTCTCTCCCCCCAGCTCCCCTGATGAGAATAATCTAAGCTTCCTCTGAAGCTAATAGAAGGACAGAAAAAAAAGAGAAACTACTTCTAATAAGTTAAGGTATACTCATTTGAATTTGTGTGTGTGTGTGTGTGTGTGTGTGTGTGTGTGTGTGTGTGTCATATGTGAAAGAGCCCACAGAGGTAAGATAAGAGCATTGGATCCCCAGCAGCTAGAGTTACATGTGGTCGTGAATACCCAACACAAGTATTTTGAACCAGACACCATTCTTCTGGAGAACAGCAAGTACTTTTAATCACTGAACCATCTCTCCACCCCTATATTTATTTCATTTAAGTAATTTGCTAATTACTTATATGAAGAACATACTTGTGCAAGTCCACTACCTAAATATTTAATTAAATGTGTATTTCTGCAATACATTCATCAATTTCCACAACGGTCACTCTACTAACAGACTCTGAAGTGTGATTTGGACTTTCTCAGTTTTCTTCACATTAGATTTACTACTGACAATTGTCACACAAGGTTTTGTTTAGGCCACTTATGTGTATTTCTGCCCAGCTTCAGGATGACAGTAGATCACCTTGTAGAAGAGTAAGAAGAGGCACCAAGGTAAGACTGAAACTCGTACATCATTGCAGAACTTCAGTTTGAAAAAGACAGGTGCATCCATGAGTGTGGTTTTTGGCAGCTTGTGTGGAGATTTCTCAATAATGCGCCTAAGCAAGATGTTGCAATTCTTGCAACATGTAGTTTATCATTAAACAGCAAGAGTGTATTTCCAAAACACAGATAGAGCTATAATTAAAAGAATAATAAAGATATGGGTTGGTCTTAAATTCTGCTGCAAGTATTCATGGAAAATAGACTAAACGTATCTCTTATAAAACAAATTACGAGACCATGACTGAGATGCTGTGTAGATTCTAATGTATGTTTATAGTGTAATCTTGACATTAAAAATATAGAAATGTGTTAACAATTATGCTGATATGTGCGTTCTTGGTGGTTTTGATATTTTGAGACATCCATTTCCAAGTATTTATAGTTAAGAATAAAATCCTCTTTAACTTTCCCAAGGGAAACAAACATGAAGATTTGCCTTTGACATGAAATTGATCTTTATGTAGAACACAGCTAGTGTGTGAGCAGGAAGCTGCCTCCTAGGTGTCTTCAGCATGCTTCTGGCCTCTGCTGATGTCTTCTGCTGTTTGGGTTCCATGGGGTTTACAGAAATAGTTCCTATATGATCTTGCACCATTAGCTTTTCCAACTATCTTGACTCCATTTTCTGAACCTAACACTCACTCACTTTCCATACAGTGATCTGACTAAGCGTGTAACTGTTTACTGTGGTTTGAGATCTTGGTGGACTCTGTCTGCACAGTTAATCTTTAGCTACTGAATTGATTGGTAAGGGTATTCTCAGGCTCTTTAAGAGTCCAGGCATGGGGTTGAATTTTAAATCTTCAAATGAACTGTAGATTTTAGTGGTTCCTATGATCTCCTCAAACATTATAAACACGAGTAGTCAGGGATAACGTAGCAGGAACTAGACTATAACATTAATGCATGCAAACAAGTGTTAGATGTCCTGGTAAATTCTGCAGATGGCTCTTCTTAATCCCACATCAGGGGAATGAAAAAAAAAAACAACCAAACCAACAAATAAAAGCAAACCTAAGAGTTCACAACTGAACAATGAATTTAGAGGAGAAATAAATCCCTAATGTTACCCAGCAATAAGAGCTGGCTGAGAATAGTTCCTGAACCTATGGGGGCAACTGATATCTGAACTGACGTCAGTGTAAGATCAATATCTGACACTCTGGTCAAGGTACAGGATCCACATGAGGGGCCATTCTCTTATCTAAGATGGAGATGCAAGGTTTCATGTCCCACAAGGTCACTGTGAGTTTTCGAGTTATGCTATCATAAAGTATGTACAACACATGGTAGTAGAGGGAACTCTAACCGATCTGCAGTGATCCTAAGATATTTACATCATGTTTGTATGTGTGTGTGTGTGTGTATGGGAGGTGTTTGTGCACACACATGCACACAAGCATGATTGAGGGCAAGCGACTGAAGCTCTCCATTTATTATTTCCTTCACCTCAAGGGACATTCTAAACATTCACTCAGAAGTACACTATAACACATAAACATAAGGCATGGTTCCATCACAATTACCTCATGATGTTAAATTCATGGATTTAGGGAATTACCTTAAATTAACTGGCTTCTTGCTCTTTACTCATAACTTAAAATATCCGATCTATGATATTTTAAAATAATGCTCATTTGTGTTAGACTAAAAGAGAGAAAGAAAGGGGGAATGGGAGGAAAGAGAAAGGAACAAACATGGCCCCGAAATTTCCCATCAATAGATAGGAACAGTAGGAAGTACTCGGAGAAGATATACAGACATGTCTTTTTCTCTATACAGAATGGGGAAGTGTGCCCCTACTGGCGCATTAAGTTGATTCCATAGGAAAACTTCAGTGGGAAAATATCTATATGTCTTGGCTCTTCCCAGTGACAAAGTTAATGATTAAAACCTCCCAGACTCTCCTCCACGTTTCCCAGGGGTATCTATTTGCCTTGATGATGCTATTACTGGTTTTCTTTGGGGACAGGGGTGACCGTCCCTTGCTTCTGTGCAGAGATTAATCATTGATGAATTTCTGGTAGGACCATTTGTAAAGGCAACCGATAACTGTGCCCCTGCCCTTTGCATGGTGTCCTGCAGGTGAGAGGAAGAGCTGCAAGACTCCCTGGACACAGAATGAAGACAGTTCTGGTTCTCCTGCTGGCCTTAGCCTTGGGGCACGCTCTAGAGAGAGGTAAGATTCCTCTTGACTAAGAACTATTACTAGCTTAATTGTCCCGTGCCACTTTAAAACTTGAAGAGGGAGTAGCTAACAGAAGAAATGGCAGACGTTTTAGAAGACAGAATAAAAGAAGGAACCAAGAGGGATAATTGATCTGAGCTTAGCTGGGCCATGTAGCATTGGAAAGGAATGCTCCCCACACATAACAAATAAGTAGCTCACAAAAGATAGAGGCGGGTGTGGTGGTGCATGTCCACAACCTCGGAACACAGGAGATGGAAGCGGAAGAATCAGGAGTTCAAGGTTTTCTACTGAACTGGCTGCTTAGGGAGTTCAAGGCCAGTCTGGGCTGCCCGAAACTGTCTGAAAACAAACTGAACAACTCCTGAAAGAAAGTAAAGTAATACAAGCTTTCAATTTTCCTTCCCACACTAAATAAATAAGATCTATAACGCAACTGGAGCCTATGATACACAACTAAGCATTTTTATTTCCCAAATGTTTACCCTTCTTGGTAGCATCGTGATGTCAGTGGTGTAAGAAGCCAGCTGAGAGATCTCGTTGATCCTCCTTAGGGGATCTTACAGCATTTGGAAGGAACTAGAGTTTTGGGGTTTTTTTTTGTTTGTTTGTTTTTAAAAAGAAATACCTCTCACACAACATAAGAAATTTTAGTAACTCTGAAATAAAACAATAAACAAAGTAGCTGAGATGGTTTCCCATGGAAATCTCCCTTACAATGGGATGTTCACTTTTCCAGTGTGTTGAGGCTTCCGACTGGGCCAGCAGATTACAGGACATGTGTAACTTCTAAATTCTGAAGCCTGAAAACTTTCCAGAGAAGCTTCCATTGTTTTTTTCAGATGATCTCTAAACCCTAGTTTAACCCTTTATTCTACAGTTTGGGTGTTATTTAATAAATTTCCCTATGAATAATTTTCATTTCTGGATTATTTTTTTTGATGCTTATAAGGGCATCTGCACATACTCTGATTTGTCAAATTAAGATGTTCGTTTAGTATTCTTCCTTAACAGACACAATCAAGTCATCCATATGTATTCATAGTACTAACACATTTAACCAGCAATATGTGCCTCCCTGGGAATTATCACTTATTAATGATGACACAAATAAACTCAGTCTTGATGTTATTTTTATTTTATGTGCATTGGTGTTTTGCCTGCATGTATGCCTGTGTGGGCATACATGTAAAACACATTTGGAAAGTATTTTTTTTGCCAGGCCACAACTGCATCAGCAGAAGCCTTGCTATGATGGAGGCTGAGCATGCCCCCTGCTGGTGGGAAGTGGCAGAGCACAGACTGAGAGTGCAGCTGGCTCCTAGTTCAGAAAACCCACTAGAGGGGGTAGAGGGTTAGGATGAGGGTGGAGATGTAGGATAGGTGGTGATTCTCTATGTCTGACATTCTGAGAGTCCTAACAGTTTCCTAAAACACTATTTCAATCACCGTGTGCTTAAGACACATCTTGAAAATCATTCCCATGGCCCAGCATATTTAAGAAACTAGCCATTCGTTACTGATTAGCGGTTGATCATCATCAATACGGCCACCGTCTCAAGCCTCTGATAAGTCCACAAGAAACCCTACTTAAATCAGAGTTTTCTAAAGACACTTGACCTTTCCTGAGTGCCTGTAATCTGGAGCTGTCTTTTGGAAACTGGGTCTAGACAGTTTCTAGATTGGACCTAAACCCGCTGCGCCACAACACAAAGCTCTGCCTCAGATGCCCTTTCCGTTAGAGGACTCTTGGGAACTAGGCTCATCTGCTGACTGATCAATGTTCTTTTCCAAGTCCTGAAACAGAGAAGCACTAATCTACAGCTGACCTTCCCAGGTACCCTTCCCATACCAAAATAAGTAAGGGGAGCTATTGGCACGGCTTTGTAGTTACTAAGGAAATTATTGTCATTAGAAAATAAACTCCTGTGGTCTATTAAACTGGTTTACATCCATATTTCTGTTAAGTATAACACCAACTGGAAAAAAAAAAGATGTTAAACCTTCATTTCTTCTTTTTCCTCCCCTTTACAAAAGCACTCCAAACAAGTTCCAAACAAGTCAGAAAAGTAGCCACTGTGATCATCAAAAGAAACGCTAGCCTCCTTGCAAGCCAATAGCAATGTCATGGTTACAAGGCACAATGACATACAGTCACCATTATGTGTGGGGTATAAGAATAAATATGCACACCCTTTAAAAGACCATGAGTCTTACCTATGGAGGAAGAAGATAAAGAGCTGAGGGTTTCCTCCCATTATCTGTTTTCATCTAATATCTACAGACTATTCCATTCTCCTTTTCAATCCACTCTGCTCCAGCCCCAGTGGCCTCTGCCACCCCATGCTGTATGTCTCTGCACCACAGAACTCATCACCAACTCTTCCCTCTTCTTGGAACACTGATACACCAGATACCCAGGTGGCTAAGACAGTGTTCAGTTGTGTAGTCAATGCCTACTTATAGTGAGGGTTCCCAACCAACCTCAATTAGCGCAAACGATTCCTAACTTCCATCCGCTCATCCTGATTCATATTTCCTCTCACCACGCCCTACCTCACCTCTCCAGAATTTGTTTTTTATAACAAATACATCGTATAATTATCAACGTGAAATGGAGAACTCGATTTTAGCCCCCCATTGCAATTCTCTAGCGCTTAGTGACTGACAGTAAGTGTTCAGTGAAATTTTTGGATACTGACACAGAATCTAAGTACCCACATCAAATGGAGTTTTGATTATTATAGGAAAATTTAGAGCCAGATTTGAGGGTTCATGCTGTAACTATGAAATTCCATCACTACAACTAGAGGGCCATGACAGTAGTAAAATCAAATGCTAATGTGGAATTTATCTAGAACAGTGGTTCTGAATCTGTGGGTTGCAACCAATTTGAGGTTACAAATCAGACATCCTACATCTCAGATATTTATAATTTATAGCAGTACCAAAATTATAGTTATGAAGTAGCAGCAAAATAAATTTATGGCTGGGATTCATCACAATATAAGGAACTGTATTAAAGAGCTGCAGCATTAGGAAGATTGAGAACCACTGGTAATGAAGAAATAAATTCTTCATGGGTGTCTACCATTGCTATCATGCTTAGTATATAAAGTATCTATTAGGACACAATAGACTATGATTTACATTCTTTAAAATGTATCAAGAATAATTTCTCCAATCTAACTGAACCTCTTACACCAACAACTCCATTCCAACTCTCACAGCCTGCATCCCTTAAAAACCATCATGGCACCCTTCATTTCTATGAGTTTGATACTTCAGATTCTATGGATAGAATCATTTTACATGTTTTTGTTTTGTTTTATTTTTAGCCATTTATAATTAATATAATGACTTTAAGGATCAGATATGTTGTGAATTAACAGAATGTCCTTCTTTTATAAGGTTGAATAACAGCCCATTGTGTGTCAACAGCATATTTCATTTCCCCATCCTTCCACTGACTCACATAAGTTTCTTTAATATCTTAATTCTTGTGAAGAATGTTGCAGCAATGAACATGAAAATTCCAAGAATCCTTTAATATGGTGACATCAATCTCTCATTGACCCAGAAGTAATATTGCTGGGCAATATAGTATAATTGTGTTTTTAATTCTTTTAAGAATGGGTACACTGTTTCCCATAATGGCTGCTCCAAGGTACATCATCTTCATGAACGTTGTGTGCTGGTTCCTCTTTCTCTGCGTCCCTACACTGTTTTTCTTCCTTTTAATAACTGGCACTCTAACAAGTACTAGGTGACATATTGTGGTTTTGATTTATATTTTCCTGGTGCTTATGGTATTGAGAAGGCTTCTAACACCTGTTAATTTTTTTTCATATAGCTGCTAGAAGTTTTTTAAGTATCTGCATTTCTTCTTTTACGAAATGTTGATTAAGTCACTTACCATTTTAAAATTTTATTGTTTTCTTGCCACAAAGATCAGCTTCTCAGATATTTTAATAGTAATCTCTTATCAATGTAGCCTTAAATATCTCTCACTCTGTGGGTTATCTCCTCATTTTGTTTCCCTTGTCATTCCCTAAAACATTGGTGTCGGGGGGGGGGGGGGGGCGAACTGAAGAGATGGCTCAGTATTTAAGAGCCCTGGCTGTTCTTCTAGGGGACCTGGGTTCAATTCCCAGAATCCACATGGTGACTCACAACTATTTATGTCTCCAGTTCTAGTTGATCCAATACCCTCTTCGGGCCTTCTCAGGTACTAAACATGAACGTGGGTAGACATACACATAAAACTAGATAAACGAAAGTAAAATACTTTTCATATGTTATTTAATTTGTTCATAGTTTGCTTCTTGTTGCCTATTCATTTGAAGGTATAAAAAAATTCATTGTTCAAACCAATCTTATGTAATCTCCTATGATTGTTTTCACTAGTTAAATACTGTCTTTCATTTTATTATTTAATGTATTTTGAATTCTTTTCTAAAGTGTTTAGACAGATCATGTGTGACTAGCCGACTAAAGAAGATTGTCCCACTTGTTATTTATGTCACTTCATTCAACAAGTACAATACTTTCCCATCCTCAGTTGGACAATTTCTTAAGTTTTCACAGTGAGTGGTTAATACATTGGCTCTGTAAAAAACACACATGCAGTGTACAAAACCCTAAGCTTACATGTGATGTTTTCCAATTAATATCTTTCATACAAAATGGAAGGTTGCTTAACTGAAATATAATTAGCACTGATCTTCTTGGTAAGATTTATGTATAAATGCCCAATGTTATTTCAAGCCCTTGTGTCTGCTGAGACAAGAAGAGTCCCCTGAGAACTACAGCCAACATTTTGACCTTTCTATTTTTTTACTCCAAACCCTGTAAGTTTGTTTTTAAAAAAAATAAAAGTTGGGGTTAAGTATGAAAAGATAGAGTGAGCTCTTGAAGACATGATAATCATAACTAGAACTTCAAGAGGTCATTTTAACTATGAATCTTTTTATTGGACATTTTATTTATTTACATTTTAGATGACATCCCCTATCCCCATTTTCCCTCCCTAGAAATCCACTATCCCATCCACCCTCCTCCTTGTTGCTTTTATACCATTTTTAATTACATGCAAGTATTCAGGTCAGTTCTAGGTTGAGGAACTAGCAATACAACAGATGCAAATAGTCAAGGAACAAGCAAGAAAATAAACACAAATAGTCAAAGAACAAGCAAGGCAATAAGCAAAATTCCATGAATCTTTTAATATCATAAAGAGAACAGCGTCAAAATCTAAAAGTGCTGCTCTAACTCATAGAAACAACTGTAACAAAAAGTTATGCTAATTAGCAAATGTAATTTTCTCTAAGAACATCTCACATACAAAAGCGAAGTTCTAAGGGATATAGATACAGCTCCGCATTCAAGAGTACTCGGTGGTTTTGTAAAGGAAGAGTTTGTTTCCCAGAACACCTCACAACCACTTGTAACTATGGCTCCAGTGGGTCTGACACCCACTTTCAGTAGTATCTCTGACCACATACAAGCACATGTAAACATGCACACACACACATGCACACACATGCATGCATGTTCACACACACACACACACACATACCGTCGTCGTTGTCGTCTTTGACGTCAACTTTTAAAAATCTTTTTAAAAGATGAAGTTTTATCCATGCTGCAGACACAGAGAAGTATAGTTAACAGTGGGGTGAGCTATGATAAAACACACATTTTATCATGTCCCTATAGAGATTAAAGGGCATGTTATGCATTAAAGATTTACTCCAGTGTTACCCAACTTGTTGATACTCAAGACATTAGCTATAATCATGATGTTAATTATATTTGAGTTGAATGTTTGTAACATAAAAATTTAAATGTTAACAAATTTGGGCATTGTGAAAATAGAAAATAGTAAAAGAGCACCATGAGACAGCATTCTGTAGAAATATCGACTCAAGTCATTGTTATTCAAGATTCATTCAATGCATGTGGCAAAATAGTTCTCCTAAAGGAACAAAATCATGAGCTAGTGAAGACCATTGCAGCACCAAAAGAACCGAAGCTCTTTCTTCGTAGGCTTTGTATGAAGATCATGAGAATTTCCTTGGCTCTTCTTATCAGAATAAATGTTGCATAAGGGGGAAGGTGTACCTGCTTTGGTCTCCATTGCATCCCACATTCAGTGTGAGAGCCGTGTCCAGCAGAGAGTACATGTCACGGAACGTATCTAAATGTATGAGCACGGCCAGATTTGTTGGAAGAGCTTGTAATGTGCATGAGGCAATACAATTTCCCAAAAAAATGAGTACAACTCATGTTTTTTAAAAGTCCAGAGTTTGATTTAGATTACCAGAATATTTCACAATGTAGACTAAATTGGACATGATGTTTGTAAAAAGTGTTAATGAAATTTGTAAACACTTAGTACAAAGAGGTCACTTGGTGTGAACATGATTTCACAATAGTCACTAACTTTATGCCAATAATTTCTGTTCCCACACCCAAGTCTAAGTGGTACATTAAAGGACAGAATATGATATTTCACTTGAAGTATAAACTTAACTAACTTTAAATGAGTTCAGTCTAAAAATGGTTTGGGGACTGGAGAGATGGCTCAGAGTTTAAGAGTTCATACTGTTCTTGCAGGGGATCCAAGTTCCATCCCCAGCATCCACTTCTGGCTGTGAAGTAGAGCACATGACTGACTTGAAGCTTCTAGCAACCTACATGCATGTAACATACAGACACACACACGCACACACACAAATCACACAATAATAAATATATTTTTTGAAAGAAGTGTTCTATTGGTATGAGAAATCAATCTGTAATAATTATAAGTCAATTTCTGCATTAATTTACTGGGCTTTGTGCACAGAGGGAAAGGATTGACATATCTAACTATTGGAACAAGATACTGTCTCCTATATAAATTAATAAATAAATTTTATCAAAAATACATGCAAGGCCATACATCTGAAAGGTCACCGTAATGCCTTCCTCTGTGGTCTATCTCTGTATGCTTTGTATATAATCTATTATATATACTCTATTATACTTTGTACTTTAATGGTATGCTGGTACCGCCCTTCGAGTCTTCATTTGCGTCCTCTCCTGCCCAAGGCTAAACACTCCAGCAAAGAACGTACCAAAATGACTTCAAGTCTCACACAGTCTCATATCCCACTCTTCTCCCAGTGGTACTCTGCCTAACTAAATCAATACAATTCCTATGAGATATAAGACACATGTGTGCAAACAAGTATATGCTTTGCTCGAAACTATTGGACGAGTTAATACGCATGCTTACTTATATAAGCGTTCTCGTGCATGACGCATTCCCGTAACACGCAAAATGAAACTCTACAAGCTTAGTAAAATGAGAATCCTGAAACTTGAAAAGCTAGAAATAAAATATTTCTCAAACTATTCATCAATAGCACCACACTGTCATATAGAACTCACTCTGCACATTACTGAACGTCGAAATAAAAGTACAAACACAAACAAGAATAGCTTGATAGAGGGAGATATTAAAAACAGTCACACTTGGTATGCATTAAATGGAAAATATTCTTTTGGAAAACTATTTTCTAAACAGCTATTTTGTGACTTTTTAATATTAGGGGTTCAGGGTAACGTTTTCAAATTTACATTTACACACGGGACAAATTCCTTATCTCTGGGAAGAGACCAGAAATAACTTGTGCTAAATATGGGACCTCAAGTATACATGATTATTCAAAGCCATTGCAATATTTCCAACATCTAAACAAGCTTATTTCTTCAAAATGCCTTCCTCTCAGTTATTCATGAGCCATGTTAGAATCAAGTGTTCAGACTGGTTAGATTTACGCTGCCATACAACCACCAGCCAATCTTCCTACTTTTTTTTTTTTTAACCGTAACGTAAAACAACCGTGTTGGTGTCTGAAAGTGTAGCTCTTCCCCACACGAGGACAGTTCTGCAGTGTATTCTTTCAGACCCACCGACTATGTACGACTGATGATCAACAGCCATAGTCTACCTTGTTTTAACCTTTCTGATTTGTCACAACATCCAGTTTTCAGACAGTGGACTGTGTACAGATCCTCAGCCAGAGTAGAGGTTGCATGCTGGGGGAAAGCTGCATTCCACTGACCAATGGCTTTATCTTCCCACTTACTTATCCCCATTTTCAGGATTTAATATCACCCAGAAACCTATGGATTCTTATATATTATAAGTAGAAATTTTATAGATGTGACTTTGCCTCTCATTATAAAATAGCTTGACTGGCAGAGAGACTGTGGAGTTGAAGCCAGTCTGGGCTATGTAGAAAGACCCTGCCTGCCCTGAAGAAGAAGGTTTTAACGTTTCTCACCTTTGACCTTTCTGACCTTTCTTACTAAATTGATTGACCTATTTCATATTGCCCATCTGGAAAATGTATAGTACCACAGGTTATGCAGGTTATTTTCATTAAAAATTTACTAATATTAAAAATAACTTTAAACACACACACATAAACTCCCAAAATTTATATCCATCCATCATCAGTGCCATTTTAACCAAACACACACACACACACACACACACACACACACACAAACACACGCAAATACCACAAAAAATTCCTCCCAAGCTTCTCCAGTCTAACCCAGAACGTTGACTATTAAAGAAGTTAGAAGGAGGGCACTTAACTTCTAAGATGATTTCCCTCACACTTTAAAGCGAATGGATAAATCACTTATGGCTATTTAAAACAGAATCAAAGTCATTTCTATATTTGTTAACAACTATTCAAAGTTGGAGTATCTAGAGTACTGAGAAACTTCCTGGACTTATTTTTATGAATGATGAGTCACAGAAGGACACACGGACAGGCTTTCAGGAATCTGCCTTCAGAGACGTGTAGAGAGTCTTATTCCACTGAGAAGCTCATTTTTAAACACAGAAGAAAACTGTGCCTCGTGAATCTGACTACTCCTGTTGCTATGGTGACCTTTACACCGTGCCACATAGCTCTCCTCATTCTCAAAAACCAAACATGTCCTCCTGTCCTTCTGAACCCAGAAGATCAATGTCGTTGCAGGCATGAGGCATGTAAACTCAGGCCAGAAGTTCACTGATATTGAAGCTGTTTTCCAAGTCAGTGCAGTGACAGGAAAAACGAACCTCTTGCTCTTTTTTTCTCCGGTTGCCTTTTTTCCTTCCCCACTATCTAAGCTATGTCTAGTATCTCTTAGACTAACACAGGAAGACCTTAACAAGAGAGTCAGCAGCAGAGAACCCTGTCGGTTTGCAGAGATGTTTTGAGCCAATGTGTTCTTTTACTTTTGTTTGCTGTTTGTTTCTTTTCTTTTTCTTTTTTTCCTTTCATTTCTTTTCTTTTTTTTTCTCTGAGACAGGATCTCACTATTGGTCCCAACTGGACTGGAACTCTATGTGGACCAGGCAGTCCTCGAACTCACTTCCTTCTGTCCCGAGTGCTAGGATTAAGGGTCCGCACTCCGGGCCTGGCTTTTATTTCCTTTTAGAACACTGTTTAATCATCCCTAGAAATGTTTCACACCTGCCTGGCATATAACGACTCCCTACTACCTTCGGGACTGATCATTCAAATCATCTCACTCTGCCCTGAGGTGACTCACGGTTGCCTGCCCACTGCCTTCTAGAAAGCCCTGTGGCTTTATCGTTCTTATTGCTGCTCTGGGTGGGGTATAAAAGATGTCTCCAGGTAACCTTGCTCTGTTAATGATTGGTATCAGATCTATAGACAACAGGTTCCCAGCCACAGCTATCTTCTTTGTTCCTTAGGAACTGAACTAAACCTGCCCCAGTGCATTTAGATTTCTAAAGTCTGTATCCCAAACCCTAAAGGAAACCTAACAAGGACGAGTGATTGTGAAGCTGCCCTCACTACTATTGAAGAGCGAAGAAGTATTCCACACTACCTTAGACCAGCCATCTCCCTAGCTCAATTCCTTAGGAATCTGGGGTAACCACAGACAGTGCCCCGGCAGCAGCTCTTGGAATTACTGGCCTCTTCCAAGTTCAATCTTAATGTAGCTGGAAACTCATCTTCGAGTCCAGAAGCTTCTTTCTTTACTTTTGTCCTTTGACTTGTTGAAGGGTTAGACAAAACAGACAACAAAGGGGAATGAGAGAAGAAAGAAAGAGAAAGGAAGAGGGGAGGGAGAGAGAGAAGGAAGACAGAGGAGGAGGGAGAGAGGGGGAACAACCCCCTGCAGCATTCTATATAGAAGGGCCAAAGAGAATGGTTTTCCTGTGGGTGGTTCTGACTCATTGACATGTAACTTCTGACTTTTAGGTTTAGTGTTTCTTTAGTCTTTCTACCTTTTGTTCTTGCTACACAGTAGAAGTTAATAGGAAAATCACAAAATTGAGGATTATTACCAGGAGATAGGTGAAAAGACAACTCCAAATGAAAACTGCACAGATATTAAGAAATGCCTTTACCACAGGTCATGATGTTTAACAGAAATATTATATTACACATATATTGCATATATGTATATATGTATATATACACATATATAAGAAATATTATATGTAATGTAATATTCATTAAATGAAAAAAAAGATGGTTATTTTTTATATCTTCTTTCTAGGCCGAGACTATGAGAAGGATAAAGTTTGCAAGGAACTCGCCATGCTGGGGAAAGATGACTTCAGATCTTTGTAAGTCACAGTATCCATGAAGTTCTCTTGGGTACATGAACTTAGATATACCAAGCATAAGCTAATTTCCATGCTGTCTAGAATGCTGAAATGCATGCTGAGCTGAGGGAAGATTGTTGGGCCACTGTGGACCAACAGGTCAAGCAGGTAGAGGTCAGCCAGAGATGCCAGAGCTATGGTTACTGTGGTCTAAGAAACTATCACAGGTAAATTGAATGATTGAGTTTGTAATAGAGCATAAATAAAGGTTTCTGAGGCAAATTAGATCTGACCATTTTAGGACTCTGGAATACACAAGCAATGGCCTGCAGAATATATTCTTTGGGTGAAGTTCAAAACACACTCCAGGCTGTTTTGATGGGAATCCAGTATTTTATCGTCGTCTTAGTTACAATTTCTATTGCTATAAAGAAAGACCACAATCACAACAACTCTTATAAAGGAAAACATTTAATTGGCCCTGGCTTACAGATTTGGAGATCTAGTCCATTATCATCATGGTGGAAAACATGGCAGAGTGCAGGCAGACATGGTGCTGGCAAAGGGCCTGAGAGTTCTTCTACATCAAGGTCAGCAGGTAGCAGGAAGTGAACTGGCTGGAGCTTCTGAGACCTCAAAGGCCACCCCCTAGTGACACACCTCCTCCTCATCTACCAAAGCCATACCAACTCCAACAAGGCCACACATCCTCATAATAACGCTACTCCTTATAGGCCTATGGGGGGGTATTTTCTTTCAAACCACCACAACTGTATATAAGATAATTTTTCATAGAACAAATGCTTTACATATAAGCTCATATTCTCACCTTTAGACAAATTAAAAAAAAAGTTAGTGTATAAAGCATTTTATTTAAAATTTGAATAGATATCCTATTTTGGCATGAGTCAAAATGCCAAAAAGCAATTCAACTTCAATTAATATGATCACATATTTTCTCCCTCAGATCACTAATCCTATACAGCAGGAAGTTTCCCAGTGGCACATTTGAGCAGGTCAGCCAGCTTGTGAAGGATGTTGTCACCTTGACTGAGGAGTGCTGTGCTGAGGGGGCCGACCCCAACTGCTATGACACCAGAGTAAGTGTGTGTACATCTGTCTGTCTGTCTGTCTGTCTGTCTGTCTGTCTGCCTCTATTGTGGACCATGGAAGGGAACTGCCCTAGGCTTTTGTGTCACATTGTTAAGACATTCCAGATACCAAGCCACCTATTCCCAGTTGCAAGGAAAAATAAAGACTATTATTTTTAGTGCCCACACTTATTTTACTATTGTGTTCCTTTTTACTCAGTGTCACTACAAGTTTCAAGAGAAAAATAACTGGGATAAGGTAACTTAAAAACTCACTAAATAAACACTGATAATGAGGAGTGGGTGTCAGATTTACATCCAGGTTGGACTCTAGAAAACTTTTAAACTTATACTCATAGACTGGTATCTAGTCCAACTATCACCAGAGAGGCTTTCTCCAGCAGCTGACGGAAATAGATACAGAGACCCACAGCCAAACAGTAGGCAGAGCCTGGGGAAACTGGCAGAAGAGGGGAAGAAGCATTGTAAGAGCCAGAGGGGTCAAAGATACCAAAAGAAACCCACAGAATCAACAGACTTGGACTCATCGGGGCTCAAAGAGACTGAACTGACAATCAGGGAGCCTGCATGAGACTGAGCAAGGTCCTCTTCATATATGTTATGATTGTGTAGCTTGGTCTTCTTGTAGGAATCATAACAGTATGAGTTGGGGCTATCTCTGACCCTTTTGTCTGCTTTTGGGACACTTTTCCTCTTACTGGGTTGCCTCATCCAGACTTAATATGAGGGAAAGTACATGGTCTTATTATAACCTGATATGTCATGTTTGGTTGATATCCCTGGGAAGCCTGTCGTTTTCTGAAGGGAAAGGAAGAGGGGTAGATTGGGGGTGGGAAGGAGAGGAGGTGGAGGGAGGGGAAACACTGGTTGTGATGTAGTATATGAGGGAATGAATGAATGAATAAATAAATAAATAAATATACTTTTAAATCACTTTAAATTTGAACCTCATAAATACATACTCATGAGCCTCTTAAAATGATTTTAGCATATGCTATGTAGTCTAAAATGCTGCTTATATCTTTATTACCATTATAGAGTTTTGACTAATGGCCACAAAATTACTAAACATTGGCCTTGATGCTACGCGCTACATACTGTCTGTGTGTGTGTGTGTGTGTGTGTGTGTGTGTATTTCTGAATATAAAGAAAAACCATTTGAGATTCCTCAGTTGAGAATTCTCTGTTTAGCACTGTATCCCATTTTTAATAGGGCTATTTGGTTCTCTGGAGCCTAACTCTTAGAGTTCTTTGTATATTTTGGATGTTAGCCCTCTATCAGATGTAGGGTTGGTAAAGATCTTTTCCCAATCTGTGGGTTGCCATTTTGTCCTATTGACAGTGTCTTTTGATTTACAGAAGCTTTTCCATTTTATGAGGTCCAATTTGTCAATTCTTGATCTTAGAGCATAAACCATTGGTGTTCTGTTAAGGAAAATTTCCCCTGTGCAACACCATAGGAAGAACAACAGTTTCAACCAACAAGATCCTCCAAAGTTTCCAGGGACTAAACCACCAACCAAAGAGTACACATGGGGGGACCCATGGCTCCAGCTGGATAAGTAGCAGAGGATTGCCTTAGCAAGCATCACTGGGAGAGAAGCCCCTTGGTCCTGTGAAGGCTCAATGACCCAGGGTAGGGGAATGCTAGGGCACTGAGGCAGGAGTGAGTGGTTGGCTGAGGGAGCACCCTCATAGAGGCAGGGAGAGGAGACGGGATAGGGGATTTGTAGAGGGGTAACAGGGAAGGGGGTAACATTTGAAATGTCAATAAATAAAATAACCAATAAAAATGAAAAACAAGAACAAAAAAAGAAAACTCACATATCGTGTGCATGCTTGTATGTTTGCATGTGTTTTCTCTCCTATAGCATTTATTTAAAAATTGAATTCCTGAAGGAAGAAGATTAGAATTCAATGTACAGACAGTAGTGATAAAGGTAGAAATAAGGAGACAGACCTTTACTAATGAGGTCATCAGTATATATACAAATAGGTGGATGGGGTTTAAAGGCCTCCACAGAAAGACTAGTGTCTGTTCAACACATTATTATAATAGATTCTGTATGGTGACTATCCTTGCCCACCTTGGCTGGCATTTGTGCTCCCTGTAGCCTTTCTTTTACGTCATTTCATTCACCACCAGGTTCATCAACACTTATCATTTCAAACTCACTCCACACTTGTCAGACTGAAATGTTCATATTGGGATAGTTGAGAACAGGAAAACCCAGAGTAGTTTCAAGGGAAGTTAGTGAACGGGGAAAAGAAACTGGTTGAAAAGAAACTTGTGATTTTCAAAGGAAACCTAATTCTTAATTTCTCAGTCATGAGGATCGATGGGTTGGCTTGGAAGACTCATTCAGAATGTTGTTTTCCTTCGCTGTTAGGAAAGGCCTTTAGAAAATTTACCTTAAAAGGATAATTAATGTATATCCAATTATACTTTTTCCTACAGAAACACCAAAGTGAGTTTTCCATGAAGGTTTCTACTTCTTTTTCTCTAAGATGTCTATTCCTTTATACTAGTTTATTTCAAATATCAAATTTCTTCCCATTTCTTCCCTATGATTACTTTGGTGGTGTTCTGTCCTTTGGCATAAATGAGAATGACAGAGCTGAGGGGCTGGAGAGATGGTTGAGTGGTTAAGAACACTGTCTACTCTTCCAGAGGTCCTGAGTTCAATTTCCAGAAACCACATGGTGTCTGATGCCCTCTTCTGGCATGCAGGAGTACATGCAGATAGAGCACTCATACATAAAATAAATCCTTAAAAGAAAATTTTAAAAGGAAAAAGAAAAACCTTTTTTTTAAAAAAAAAAAAAAAAGCTGGGTGTAAGCAGGTGTGGTGACACACACCCTTAACCCCAGTACCAGAGAGCAGCAGAGCTGGAGCTATGCACAGCAGGGACTGCTAGCTTTCCAGCTCTTGCCAAGTATAAGACCTAAAAGTTAGGAGAAGACAGACTGCCAATCCCCATCTTTGTCCTGCTATGTAAGCTTTAACCCTTTGATATGCTGGATAAGTAATGGTGATATAAAATCATGTTGTTGAAAATGACAAGCAACTGTAACTTACAGGAAGCTAAAGCCAGTGACGTTAAAAGGATGCTCACTGCTGGGTGTTGGCACACGCCTTTAATCCCAGCACTTGGGAGGCAGAGGCAGGTGGATTTCTGAGTTCGAGGCCAGCCTGGTCTACAGAGTGAATTCCAAGATAGCCAGGGCTACACAGAGAAACCCTGTCTCAAAAAACCGAAAAAAAAAAAAAAGAGGATACTCACCGAGTAACGGGAGGAGAGGAAGCCATGGGCAGAACTCCTTGCTTGTGGTCTAACTGTAAAAAGTGGATGGGACATGAGATGATAGCCACTACCAGAACATCTCCAAGTGATGCTAAAATTCCTTCACTGAGAAATACCAGACTATGTGACAGAGGCCAAATGGCTACAGCCCAATAGACAATATCTATTTATTTATGAAAGTTGTATCACGATCTAGTCTGGAGAGTGTCATTGATTAACATAAACAAGATTGCCTATGACCAAAATTATCCAACTTTACATGTTTGCAAGCCATAGTGTGGAAGCTTGATTATTAATGAGAATTTTTAAATTAAAAAGTATGTTTTACACTGAATTGAGATTCACATATACTGTATAAGTTTCTGGTTTTTCTTTTTGCCTTTGTTTCCCTTTCTCTCATCCAGACCTCAGAGCTGTCTATTAAGTCCTGTGAAAGTGATGCCCCCTTTCCCGTTCACCCTGGAACTTCTGAGTGTTGCACCAAGGAGGGCCTGGAGCGGAAACTCTGCATGGCTGCCCTCAGTCACCAGCCACAGGAATTTCCCACCTATGTGGAACCAACAAATGAGGAGATCTGTGAGGCATTCAGGAAGGATCCAAGGGGATTTGCTGATCAGTAAGTGATCTTTAGAGTAAGTCAAACTTAGGCTTTTCTATACCAACCCAGATGCCTACCACTGGGGAGGCAAAGGCAGGGGGACCACTGTGAGTGCCACAGTAGTCAGACCTCATGGTAAGACTTTTAAAAATAGCAAGGGGGAGAGAGAGAGAGAGAGAGAGAGAGAGAGAGAGAGAGAGAGAGAGAGAGAGAGAGAGAGAGAGAGAAGAACCCAAGAGAATGTACAAGAATCAGAGGCTCATTTGTTTGCACACTTAAGACTTCCATAAAACCGCTAAACTAGAAGCCATTTTATAGATAGATAGATAGATAGATAGATAGATAGATAGATAGA